AAAAAAAAAAAATGCAAAATACCAAAGTTTCAGGCACTTGCCTTTGATTGTTAGAGTGAAAAAGAAAAAAAAAAATAGCTTGAGATAATTGGCTGTCCTGTCAGAGCCTGCTCTGTCCTCACAGCCTAAGGCTGACCGGTTTAGAGCCAATGTTTCCCCTGCGCAACAGCCTTTTGAGTTTCAATGCCAAGAGCCTCTCACTTTACCTCGCTAATTTTCCATGTTGAACCCCTCATATGTACTCCCTAGAGTCGAGCTGCAGAACCAGGCTTGAATCTTCTTCATGCCACATAACAAGAGCCCAAGCCAGACACCAGCATCTGGCAGGCCGAATCCCCGTCCTGGAGCTCTGCCCCGGACCCATCTGTCTGTGGCTCCGACGTTACGATATGATAACAAGAATAACTTCCCATTTTTGTTTATCTTTTCAGTTGCCATCCTACTTTCCTTGTATGTGTGTAACCTGTGACCTAACATCTAAATAGGCATGAGTTCTACTGTACCCTTCATAGTAAGAAGACTTGTAGGTGACCTTTAACACCTGCTGCTTATCATACTCATAATCAGTGTTGGGCAAAAGTAATTAGTTATAGCTACTAGTTACTTCTCACAAATAGTAACTGAGTTAGTAACTGAATTAAATCATTATAAAAGTAACTAATTACCAGGGAAAGTAACTATTGTGTTTCTTAAATTGGCCTATGTCAAATAACTTGGATGCACCCAATATTAAATATGTTAAATGAATGAAATGGACACTATAGAATAAGTTATTATTATAGAACATTGTACACTACACTATCGTAATGTTGCTGTGGGACAATGTGAGAGACCTGTAAAATTCAATATATTATTTAAAGAGCAGTGGTGGAAAGAGTACTGAAAAAACATACTCAAGTAAAAGTACCATTACATTCCAAAAAATGTAGTGTGAGTAGAGTAAAAAGTACTTGTCCAAAAAACTACTTGAGTAAGAGTAAAAAAGTAGCTTATTTAAAAGTACGCATGAGTAGTGAGTACTGAGGTGCGGATTCTAACCCTTATAATAAACACTGTGCACTACAATTTATAAATTTAAAAAAATGCACATACTGGAATTCACATTATATTTTGTTCTTTGTAAGAAAGATTGAAGAATATCTATCATCCATCTTTTTAAAATGCATCAAATCAGTACACTCATCGCCATTTAAATCATATTATTTGGGGGGGAAAGCATTTAAAATTAGGCGAAAAGCCACTGGGCCTGAGCATGTTATTGTTGCACATAAAATATCAATATTCATAACTGTGCAAAGAATTCAAAGACCTTTAGAAACTCATATGATAGTTCAGCATCACACACCAAGAGATATGGGTTAAATAAAATAAAAAAAATAGCCAATTTCTCTCCAAAATGGTACCAATGTTAGTGTTTTGATAAATGAGAATCACTAATATTATCATATTACCTCAACTAATGCACTGAAAAAGGCTAAGATAATGAGCTAACACTAATTACACACTTTTATTCCATGCTATTAAATATGTTACACTTTAAACGTAAATGCATTGTTCTAGAAGGATGGCATCATCCCTTACATTTATTTACTCACATTGTAATGCTATTATCAGCATTAAATGCTGATAATTTGTAAGGAAAATTGTGCATTAAATAGGGAAGTTATATCCAGGAAACTTTTACAAAAGAAACAAACACACTTTGTCTCTGAAGTCTCGGCGAAGCTGTTTTATCAGCAGCATCCACAAAAAAAAAAAAAAGTTCAGCATGAAAAATGTTTTTGCGCCAAATGAAGACGGATCATATAATGGATCAATCAAAAAACGCTGTTTATTAACGAGCTGTGCTAATTTCTTATTAAGAAATGCAGTTCAAGTTAACGACATGGTGCACTGATTCTGAATCTGGCGGCATGGCGAGCGCGAGACGCGGCAGTGCACAGATCGTGACGCGCGTCTCTCCTGTGATTGTGAAATGGGAGCGGGAATTCACCGCATTATGAACTCGTCTCGCAATTCCCCCAACCGCAGACCAAATGTTAGGCCATGTAGACAGGCCAGCCTATATAAATATCATATTAAGCAGAAATGTGAAATGTACCTTAGCATATTAGAGCAAGACGCTGATATCTGGATTGAATTGATGCGTGATGAATGCACTTCCACAGCAGTCACGAGTAACAGCATGAATAAGTTTTCGATGCTTAATTTGAATTGATGACAGTCACGAGACCGATTACTCGATCCAATCACGTTGATGGATAAAAATAACATTAAAACAAGCATGTAACGAGTAACGGCCACAAACAGAAGGAAACTAGCGGAGAAAAAGTACCGATACATCACTTAAAATGTACTCAAGTAAAAGTAAAATTACACAATTTTAAACTTACTCAAAAAAGTACAATTTCTGAAAAAAGTACTTAATTACAGTAATGTGAGTATTTGTAATTCGTTACTTTACACCCCTGTTAAAGAGTAACTAAACACTAAACCAACTTTTTTAGTTAATGATCTGAAAGAATGGATCTTTATTAATACCAGTCATTGATTCAAGTAACTTTTTTGACATTTGTTTATAAAGTGTTTTATTTCTACAATATATGGTGTAAAAACGTCTTAGTGCTGCCCCCTTCAGGTTGAACGGTGGCTACTGCAGTTGAATTTTCCTATTGGATGTTCGGCACTTTGTGACGTACGCAGGTTTTAGCTCACCACGCGAGCTACGCCCTTGGCAGTATACAAACTATCTTGTTTCGTCAAAACCACTGTAGGGAGTCAGGAATTGGAATTGTGAGTATTGAAAATGATCAGGATAGAGTGTTTTAGCGTCTATTTTGTCCCCTCTATCTCCGCTGGGGTATGCCCACTTTTTCAGCATTTTTAAATATTGCCAGGGTGAAGTCGGGCTATGACCAGGGGTTTAGTTACCCTTTAAATATTATCATTACTATAGTAGAACAATAAAACATAATTTTAGGTTTAGGTTACTTTTAATATTTAACATTGCACAGACCACAACTGGCCAACAAATAAGTCTAAAAATAAATAATGCTTAAATGTACGAAAAATGAATGAATAATGATAAAAAATATACATACACTCTTTGTAGTGAAAATTAAATGATAAACCGTTTAACAAGAAGTGTTCCCAGAACCCGAATTCCCAGAACGTTCCCTGCCGGCTATTTTGTTAGATTTTATTTGTATAACCATGTAAATTATTTAAAACGCTGCAGATGATACCAATAGGCTACAGAGATTGTTTTAATGCTGAAATTTGTCATTTATTTATAAACAAACCATAAAAAGCTCGGACACACTCTATCTCGTGCATTGTCGGGCTCGTGGCGTTTGCTTCGCTTTAGTCGAGTCTGGTTCCTCAAACACACACACACACACACCAGAGAAAAAACTTTGCAGGTCCTGTAGCGGAGAGAGAGCCTACTCGGATGGAAACTGCTTCAGTGAGCTCAATTAGGCTATAGTAACGCCGCATTTTATTCACATTAATTAGACGTGGATTACTCATTACTGAGAAAGATAACACCGTTAGTAATGCCGTTTATTTATAACACCGTTATTCCCATCTCTGCTCATAATGTCGTAAGTATAAGCAGTAAAGCATGATATACTTAGTTCAAAACAAACTTTTTTTCACACCTGTCAATAACAAATTAAATTGAATATGGGTCTGGTCACTTGGGGTCATTTCTGGTCCTTTCTTTGTTTCTTCAACATCTTCTGAAACTGCACTGTCATCTGTCCAAAATTGAGTGAGTCTGGTAACAAGAATAACCACCCAATCCATCCACTGCATAGCTCATCTCAGCTCCTGACAGCTTACTGGAGTCTCTGGGCCACCTGCCACTCAAATCAAGGGAGTTAATTAAGTCACGATGCAGTTTAGAATATTTCATGCCAGAAGAAGCTGGCAAGATCCTCATGAGATGATATAAGGGACTTTTATGTTTGTCTCAAGGTTTCTAGATTGTATAACTTTTTGCAGCCAACTTTTTGATGTCACCGTAACAACTCATCAATTAAATATTTATCATTGCACATTCTGCATTATTGGATGTTTTTTTAATAAACACTGACCAAAAAAAAAAAAACTATAAAGTTTTAGGGCTGGACGATATGATGATATACAGTATATAGCCTACAGTATATAGGCTATATAACACTAATATAAGTGATCACCCAGATTTAGACCTACCTATATTGTATTTATATAAAGAGCTCACAGGCAAATTTGCTTTATGTTTAGGTCTATATTGCTTTTATTTCCCGGTGTCAAAATCAGGCAAACATAAATGTCAGGTAACACGATTCCTGGCTGCATGTCAATATCCATGAATCACTGCATCTTTAGTAAGTTGTAAGGAACACTAGCCTATAATGAGTCCAACATTTAGTTTAAATTGATAAAATTGTTCGTTTTAGTCGCATTTTCGCAGTTTCCCCTATTAATTCCAGTCACGCAGCAGATCTTTTGCCACTCAGTCAGGCTGGGGGGTTGGTCCGCCCAACCATTTCACAAGATGTAAACAACACCGGTCCAGAAACACTTCCTGTTTCAGTTTGTAACTTTTTTCTTTATTTCACGTGTAAAGAAAACATCTTAAAGATGTTTGTTTAACTTTTTGATTCAGTTTTAAATGTTCTGTTGGTTGTATTTTATCCCAACTTTTATGTAGTGTTAAAAAACTGAAACAGGAAGTGCTTCTGGACCAGTGTTGTTTACATCTTGTGAAATGGTCTATACCAACGATACCATGTTGATTAGGTACATGGTGTGTAGAGATCCATCAGCTGCATGCATAACCTCAGACACAAAAATGAAAATATGTTCCATCCTTATAGCATTTATCTGAAGACCCAATAACTGATAACTTATTAGAAATTTGTGAATATCTTTTATTTTAGTGGTCTTTTACAGTATGTACACAAATATATGTATATGTTTCAAGGGTAAAATGACTCTTTCTTGTGTTGCAGGAACAGCATTGCTGCCTCTGCAGTTTGTGCGTACAACCTCAGCGCAATCACACAGGCTTTCAACGGGCCCTTCCGCTCCCAGGAGAACCCTCGCTCCACGTGGCTCCCCACCCCGAACCCCATCCCTAACTTCCAGGTGCATCACTTTTACAGTTTGTTCTCTCTCTCTGTGTGTGTGTGTGTGTGTGTGTGTCTGGAACAAGCAGCCAATAGATAAATTCAATCAGCCCGGCACTGTGAGAGTAATTGCTCAATACCAGCTGGGTGTACTTGCATGCATCGTAATTCACAGTTATTGTCTACTTTCCTATAAAATTACACGGTGAGAAGTTTTTTGTAAAAGTTTTCTGAGTTTGTGTTTGCACTGCCCGGCTTGACCTCTGCACTAATTAATGAGTCTAACCCTAATGACGCTTACCAGTGTGGGACCATCGAGGAAGAAGGGCCTAATGAAGGACTAACTGAACGAAGCCTGCAGGACGCCCAGCGGCTCTACCTCATGAATGACGTGGTTCAGCCAGTTTCTGTGGACCCGCTGGTCTGGCAGGATGATGTGCGGTTCTCCAAGTTGGTTGTTGACATTGTACAGGGGCAGGACAATTTGCACCATGTCATGTACATAGGCACAGGTAATTAGGCTTTGAGGAGTTAGACAACTTCAGTTGTGTATTTTTCTTTTTTTTTTACCACCAAATAGCATTAGTTTTGCAGCCTTGTGTAATTATGCTTTGCCTTCTGTTCTGAATTATCAGAGTATGGAACTATTCTTAAGGCCCTGGCAACCACAAATAAGAGCCTGCAAGGTTGCTACTTAGAGGAGATGCAACTCTTCCCGCCTGGCCTGCGTGAGCCAATCCTGAGCCTTCAAATTCTCCATGGCGACAGGACTCTTTTTGTGGGCCTGAATGACAAAGTGCTGAAGATCCCTCTGGCAAGATGCTCCAGCTACAAAACAGAATTGTGAGTGACTTGTTTTATCTGTACATTTGGTGCTGCAAATCCAATCCGATCCATCTTTATTTAGAAAGTGCTGAACACACACAGTCTATGAATAAATACCTCTCGATTTACGTTTGGTCTTGGGGACGGCCAGCAGCGCTTGATCAGCCGAATTAAGGGGATTGTAGGGCACGAGCAGATCAGACAGGTACTGGGGGGCCAGGCCATGCAGACATTTAAAAAACAAACAAAAGGATTTTAAAATCAGTACGAAAGTGCACAGGGAGCCAGTGGAGGGATTGGAGGATGGGTGAGATATGGCCAAATTTTTGAGTTCCAGTTAAAAGACAAGCAGCTGCATTTTGAACTAGTTGTAATTGTGCCATAAGTGATTTAAGACCACTTTAAAGTGCATTACTATAATCTAAACGAGTGGTGATAAAAGCATGGATTCAAATTTCAAAATCATGTCGAGATAAAACCGGTTTTACTTTGGCTAGTTGCCTAATGCCTACTGCACTAATCAGGGGTGCGTTTCCCGAAAGCATTGTTAGCCAATTATGGTCACAAGTTCCCTCGTTATCAGCTTAGTTCAACGAGTCGGTGTTTCCCGAAACAATCGTTCCAACGGACATTCGCAAACAGCATCGCAAAGTTGTGTGGTTTGAACGACAGCTCTCGACCTGTCGTTAGAGGCATAGTTTCTATATTGCATGACATTTGGACGTAATAAATCCTTATCTTGAGCAAAATAAGCAAGCTGACATTCAGTACAACCGGTGCCTTTTATTTAGAATACATACAAATGTCATTTACGTCTTTTAGTTAGTCAAAAGTTTTAAAGTATTGTGTTTGAAAAGTGCGCATGTGCGAACGTGCTCTACTATGCAAGAACGAGCCAAATATTGAGTCTGGTAATAAAGCAAAATAACTGAGAACCATTTGAAATCGTCTTCAGATGACATGTCTGTAATTTATATTAACAAATCTAGCGTTAATTGGATCTCAAACAGTTTCATTAAAAGTAGTCATTACTCCACCACGTGTGAAACCAACGTGGTTGAACGATACTTTGCGACAGTGGGTTTCCGGAAACAGTCGTCACTAGCTAGTTGATTTCTCCAACGATGCATCGTACTATGGTCATGAGGCAGCGAGTTACATCGTTGTACGGGAAACGCACCCCTGGGCATCAAGTTGTAGACGACCGTCCAACTTGACTCCCAAGTTTGTAATCACAAGGCTGATGTCTCGGGTTAGACAACCCAGGTCAACAGGAACCGCAGTATAGTTGAGTCACTAGGAGAAAATAACACAAGCTCAGTTTTACTCTTATTTAAGTACCAAAAATGCATAGCCATCCATGCTTTCACTTCATTCAGACACTTTCAAAGGGTTTTTGACTGACTTAGCGGCACATATGTTTGGCAGTTGCAGCATAAAAATGGAACGAAACATTGCAACTTCTGAAGACAACTCTCAAAATCAAGATCTTAATTTCTCATTATTCATTTATCTGGCATCTGCAGGTTTTGGGTTGGGATGTGCAAACCTGCATATTTTAAAAATTGACTTGTTGCTGTATTGCCACCACAGTCGCTTAACTTGCCTTATGGATTAGATGCCTTGGAATAGTTATTCTAGTTTTAGGTTCCCAGATTACCCCGGTCAGATGTTACAGAATGGGACAGATTGCACAGGTTTTGAAGGGTTTCACTATTTTTAACTTGACACGCTGCTCTTGGCAAGACCACACAAGACAGTGGCCAATACGGTCTCAAAGTCTATGAATTTTCCCAAGCAAATGTCTAAAATTCAATTTATATATACTTTTTTATAAACTATTTTATAATATAAAGTATAAATATATTATTTATGTAAATATATTTTATAATATATAATTTCTACTAAATACATTTTTACATTCTCACTTTAATAGCATTTATAATACCAAAAATGCATTTATATAAGTTTTTTTATATAAGTTATATATATATATATATATATATATATATACACACACACACACATATACAAAGTATATATATATATATATATATATATACACAATATATTCTAAAACTTATATAAATGCATATATATATATATATATATGAAGAGTTCAGATGCAAAAGCCTCTAAGTGCCATTTGAAATTCTCTTCTAGAATAATCATTTTTATCAAGCTTGTATATTTAAATTCAGTAATTTCACTTAAATGGCAATTCATAGGTAATCTTCATTGCCATTTAAGTAAAATTACTGAACTTAAATATACAAGCTTGATAAAAATTAACATTCTTGAAGAAAATTTCAAATGGCATTTAGAGGCTTTTGCATCTGAACTCTTCATATATATATATATATATATATATATTGTTGACAAATGGTCAACTAGTCGACCATTGAGAACCATTCATAGGGCTTTCTTAGATTTCAGGGACAATACCTGCTTTCTCATTGGACTGTAGGTGTTGGGTGACAGCAGACCCAGGTTGAGGTGCATGAATGGCTCCTTTTTACGTTGGTTAGAGCTCTTGTTACCCACCTCATTGCAATTATACCCTTGATCTGTCATTGGAAAAGAAATTCTTCCTCACGAGTGACTGAAGCAGTAAGAGGAGCGCCGTTTGACAGCCCCCGTGTATTCTATCAAAGCTTTCCATCAACTTCCCACTCCAAATGCAGGGTGGGGACAACAGTCAGGCTCAATTTGCCAGAGAAGCACATAGAGCGCACTGTCCGCTCACTGCGCGCCGTGCATGAAGGTGAAAGATCGAGTGTGGGTCTGGATGAATGAGGGCAAGATAAAGGAAGCTAAGAGGGTTCAAAGGAAAGAGGAAGGGTGCCGTCTCGAGTGAATGGTTTTCTGTGAGGGCAAACATATTTGACTGTGAGCAGATGATTAGTCAGCACTTTGATTTCACATCTCAGTATGTGTGCGCACTCTCTCATGCACAGAAACACACACAAGGCTATGTGGTGAAAGCTGAGGCTGTTGCATACTAAACAAGGTAAAGGTATGATGTGAGAGATGGAGCGGAAGCAGACATTGCCAGCTCTATTTAAAACCCAGCAGGGAGGAACAATCACACTGGGCTCCAAGGGCAGGCCAGACAGAAGCGTCCTTAATCCTTAATCCGTAATTTCTGCCACATTCAGAGTACATTCACATTTGAACACAGCGCTTTGACATTTCATTAAAGCCGTACTCTCAGATGAAACGTCACAGAGGTGTGACGGGCCTGTATATAAGCTGTAGTTTTTATTCACTTCCTGCTTCACCAGCCCGCTTCCTCTCTTTGAGCATTGACTGAAGCGAATTATCAGATCATAAAGAAGGTGGATCGCTGTTAGAGACCTCAAACAGAGACCTCCATTATATTATGAAATGTTGCATGTCAAGTTATATATTTATTTGTATAGTGCTTTTCACAATACATTGTTTTAAAGCATCTTTACAGAAAGTGATACTTTTATGTCTATAATGCCTTAATGCTTTAATAATGAGCAGGTTTTAGGACTGGATGATACAGCCTAGACAGAACCTAAACAGAACAGAACCAACATTAATGTACACTCACCTAAAGGATTATTAGGAACACCATACTAATACTCGCCTTCAGAACTGCCTTAATGCATGGCATTGATTCAACAAGGTGCTGAAAGCATTCTTTAGAAATGTTGGCCCATATTGATAGGATAGCATCTTGCAGTTGATGGAGATTTGTGGGATGCACATCCAGGGCACGAAACTCCTGTTCCACCACATCCCAAAGATGCTCTATTGGGTTGGGATCTGGTGACTGTGGGGGCCATTTTAGTACAGTGAACTCATTGTCATGTTCAAGAAACCAATTTGATATGATTTGAGCTTCGTGTCATGGTGCATTATCTTGCTGGAAGTATCAGAGGATGTGTACATGGTGGCCATAAAGGGATGGACATGGTCAGAAACAATGCTCAGGTTGGCCGTGGCATTTAAACAATGCCCAATTGGCACTAAAGGGCTCAAAGTGTGCCAAGAAAACATCCCCCACACCATTACACCACCACCACCAGCCTGCACAGTGGTGACAAGGCACATTTTGTTGAGCTCTTGCAAATTGTAGCCTCTTTTTCCTATTTGTAGTGGAGATGAGTGGTACCCGGTGGGGTCTTCTGCTGTTGTAGCCCATCCACCTCAAGGTTGTGCATGTTGTGGCTTCACAAATGCTTTGCTGCATACCTCGGTTGTAACGAGTGGTTATTTCAGTCAAAGTTGCTCTTCTATCAGCTTGAATCAGTCGGCCCATTCTTCTCATTCTTTTGTCATTTCCTGTCCTGTACCATGTGTTGTAGTCCCTTGTAGTTGTTCTTGTTTATTAGGCTCCCCAGGTGTTTCTGATTAGCCACGCCCTCTTGTTATCTAGTTTAGCTTGTTAATCTCGGTATTTAAACCCTGGGTCTTGCATCAGAGTTTGAGGGTTCTTGACTTTGTAATATTGTCTGAGTCTGAGTCTAAATCTGAGTCTGAGTCTGAGTCTGAGTCTGAGTCTGAGTCTGAGTCTGAGTCTGAGTCTGAGTCTGGCTTCCCTCTCTGCAACATTACAGAATAACTTTAGATATTGTGAAATCTGACACCTGAAAAAAAAAATTAAAAGTGATTTTTCTCCAGGTATTAAATTGCCGCTCCATATAGAACACATTGCTTGTTGTTTGGGAAGTTGTCTTTTGGACCAAAGCAACCTAAAGAACATTTCTGTAGGTCAAATGCAAATAAGGTATGTGAGATTGCATCAGTGATACGAGAGACAAATTCTTATTTGCTTTTGTGAACAAATCAAATCAATACAAACAAAACCGACAAAAAGAATAGCAGGCTTTTCAAAATGTAACGGCTCTGCGTATAATTACTTTAAAATCGTTATGCTTCTGTTCACAGATGAAAAGAGACAAAGAGTCTCTCTGCTCTTGCCTTTCTGCTCTTGTTTATTAATGACTTAATCTACATTGTTGGTGGCTCTGGTTTGAAAGCAGTGT